CTCAAAAGTTGGATCGTTGTTGTAAAGAAGTTTGCAGACATTGCGGTAATGTTAATTATTAGGTATAATGCAATAACTCAACGAGGTAATGCAAACTGCATGCCTAGCATTTGCCAGGTCGTGAACATGTATTAAATATAGTATTAAATAGCAACAACGCGTAAACGTGTATTAGAAAAAAAATGCTTACGAAAAGAAGTTGTGTTCCAGTTTTTAAACATTTAATTAAAATGACAGGTGTAGCCAATACCAACTTCGATAAGAATTTCTGGAACATTTCACTACATTACGTTTTATGATATGGCATATACATCTAGAAGAGAACGTTCTATAAAGAATATTTGCGACGCAATAATATATTTCGTAGACTTGATTTGCTGTGCAGTCGTTTGTAACAGATTTATATTCTCAAAAGTGCAGAGTATCCTAATGCGAAAATAGTATAACAAAAATATTAAATAAAAATTTTGTAGCAATATATTCAGAATCTTTTTATTATAAAATATTTTATTATTAAATAACTTTATTATTAAACTTCATGAATAAATATAAAATTGAATATAAAATTTAATTCATCAATTATTATTTCACATAATTATGCTATGATTAAATTAAAAGTATTATATTATATTATATTATATTATATCTTTTAAGTTTTAAACGTTGTTAAATTATCTTAATTTAAAATCACAAACTTTATTATAAAAGAATTGAATATTTCTTTAAAATTTTCACATTTTATCATCCTTTATTTTATTTATCCTAATATTGATGATTATATTCATAATTACAATTTAATAAAGATAGAAACGTTTGCTTTTTTAAAAATTTGTTTATTAATATATTATGTTTGGCTTGTAGCTCTTGTTTTTGTATATTCGATTTGTAATCTCTTGAGCCTTATTATTCTTGATCCTTTATATTCTTGATCTTTATTATTTTAAAGATAATTTACATCTTTCACAGCCTCCTTCATTAACGTATGTGGACGCAAAAATTCGAATCTTAATAAATGCATCTTGGACAATGTCGATAATATAAAAGACAAGATCTGCGAAGGAATCCCAGAATTGGACATTCAGCCGAATGATCCATTCGTTATTGAAAAACTAATTATTTCTGATACATCTAATTCTAAAATATCTCTTACAAATGCACAAGTGACGGGACTTTGTGATTTTGTCGTAAAATACCTTCAATCAGATCTCGAGAAACTTCACTTCGATTTTGAGCTTGTATTTAGACGGATTCAAATGAATGCCACATATGATTTCGATATACGTTTACTGGTGCCTATTGTTCACACGGGACCAGTTTACATCACTACAAGTACGTAAAATAATCGATATTGCATTATAAAGGCTTGCTTAGAAAGGCAGAAAATAGAAAATGTTTGTTTTAATGATTCACAATTTAATACTTTTTTGCCATAATTATTTTAATCTGAATTTTGCAGATAACGTTGAAGCAAAGGTAAATGTGGACATGAATGTAGTAACTAGAAACGGCAAAAAATACGTGTACTTAGGAAAGATGAAGATAAATCTTGACATCAAAGGATACACCGCTGAATATGGATTAAATAGCACAGAACTAAGCCGATTAAATGAAGTCATTAGCAATTTTATAGGCAACAATCAACAGGAGGTTATTAGTGTTTTCAAGCCGGCAATAGAAGAAACAGTTGTCAAACGAGTTATCTTGCTTTCCAATAATATAGTTAAACACTTTACGTTGGACGAGCTTTTCCCTGATCGAGAATAAATCGCGCAATAAGTTTTTGAGTTTCATTGTTATGCAATCATTTCGTGATTTACTTAATCCTTTCGTACTTTCGGGTTTTTCAAAAGAGATTTTATATAAAGACGGTTCATATGAAGATGGTTTTATAAGTTTTTGGGAATGCTGATTCCAAATTTACTATTAGAATTTAAATTAAAAATGATGAATTTAAGATGGCTGTCATGAAAAGCTGAAGTATTCAAAATATGATCTCGGATTTTAATTTTTTAAATATATGTGTTGCATGCACATATAAACACACACACACACACACACACACAACACACAACATACACTCACACGAAACTATTCAAAAAAATATATTTAAAATATATTTAAAATGGTAAAAGTTCTTTAAAAGGAAAATACTTTTGGATTATGCCCAATTTGATTATATAATATTATATATATAATATTATAATATAATACATATCATAATAAAGTTGTGATCATATTTAAATAAGTATATGATTAATACGTGATTAGTATTTATTCTATGATTTTGTTTACATAATCTACGACTAGTACATGGTTTTTTATTATAAAAAAATTTTATTTTTTACAAAGTTTAGATACTAACTATATATTAATTAAAATATTATATTTCAAAGTTTGCAATTTTTTGACATGAAGTTTAAACCTTTTTCTTTAAAAACAAGTTAAGATAAAAGTCAATAGAATTATTTATTTAAAAATTATAATTTTTTTTGTAGATAGGACATATATATCCCGAAGATATGAAAGGGTTAAAAAATATTCAGAATCACAAGGTTTTCGTGTTAAATTAAAATTTTATAAATATTTCTTGTATTAGTTTGAACATAATGTTTATGAGAATTTTATATCGCAATATTTGATATAAGTGTTACACAATTATTAGAAAAAAAATGAGAACATGTATTAGGTGTTGGAATTAATTCGTAGCGTTTTACAAGTGATGGGAAGTACTTTCATTAATGTATTTTTTAATGCTCATGTGAAATAAATAACATTCTTTCATTAAAAACGCTACGAATTAATTCCAACACCTAATAGATATAAAATTGCGACGATATGCTTTTTATTATACATATCTTTATATTTATATTTTATAACATCTATATATTCTAAATATGTGTTAATTATCTCTTACATATATACTATATATCTTATTTATGATAAAATTATATATAATTTCATGACTATTTGTGTCTTTAGGTAACTCTCAATTACAGCTGTGAAAATTACATCTAAATTCTAAAGTCTAGCTTGAAGAATGCAAGTGAACATACGTTTTGATACAGTGATTGAAGGAAAAAGTTCCAAGTTTTTTTATTTACAAGAATCTCGTAATATCATACGGATTGTTCAATTGTTCAAAAATTTTTATTTTGGTCTTAAATGATCAGTTGCTGTAATTGAGGATTAACAACGTAAATATGTCTTACATATAAAAATACTAAACAAAATTTGTATATTAAAATTTATATATTAAAATAAATTACTTTAAGGTAATATAAACAGAATTAAATACTGTATGTGTTTGTATAGTGTATTTTATAATGTTGGAGAAAAAACTGCTTTAAATTATTAAATATTGTTGCATTTATGTAATTTTTGTAAAAGAAATTTAAACAAAAAAATGTAATGCAAATCACTTAATAAATCTCAATTATACTTATGTTATATTTATTATCAATTTTATGTTATGCTTTTACTGTAATGGATACAATTAAAATTATTCGTATCTTGCAATAACACAGTTTAATATTTTTTTGGGATCTGAATAAATGAAGTTTTCCTAGTGTGTTGCATTTTTGTTCGCTGAAAATGAATCTGGCCGTGGAATTGGTCTAACACATTAGATTTTCGAAAAAATTGAGATTAAATGTACAAAAATTGGCATTTTTGACCATATTTACCATTTTTTTGTGGCTAAAATAAATTTTTTTTAAATTTTATTTTTTTTGTACGTCACTTCATAGTGCTATCCTCTCCAATCTTCCATTTTTACTTATAAAATAAATTTATATTTATTAGAATTCTATCATATTTGGATTTAGCAGTCTCAAAAACATTAAGATACACATTTTTTTTTAATTCTTTCTAATTTCGATTTGCCATAACGGATTTACTATTTTTAATTTTGAAATTTTAATATAATTTAAATTCAACAATTATCTTAACAATAAAATTATGATATCTAGGAAACTTATTTTTACACGAAAATAGGCCAGAAGATTCATTTTAACTATATATTGTAGAACTATATATTGTAGAACTATATATTGTAGTTAAAACTTTTATGACTCGGTGAAAAATAATAATTGTATCTATTTGAAAAAATCGCTAACAGGGATCTCCCCCCCCCCCCAGTTTTCAGACGAGCATGGATATTACGTAATAGACGAGTAGTGGAAGATTGGAGGGAATTTAAGCAACTCGCGCGCGACGGCAACGCCGCGATCTTTATATGTTAATTATGCATATAACAAAAAATCCGTAATAAATATAAATTTATTTTATAGGTAAAAGATAGCACTTTAAAGTGACGTAAATGAAATTGAAAAAAAAAAGTTTATTTTAGCTATAAAAAAATGGTAAATATGGCCAGAAACGTCAATTTTGACACATTTGACTTCAATTTTTTTCAAAACTTGACGTATTAGTACAATTCCACGATGGATTCGTTTTCTGCGAACAAAAATATATCGGAACACGCTTCATTTATTTAGGTCTCCATAATAAGTAAAACTGTTGCATAACTGTAATTTGCAACTTGGATAATTTATGATTTCTGATATAAATAATAAATTGTTAGACGTAGATTTTACATAATCAAAGAATTTATTTATTTGTATTCAATACAATTTGTTATTAATATTTTGTTATTAATATCTGTTACTAATATTTTGGTTATTTGTTGATGCAACAACGTTATTACAACATATTTATTAAATTAAATATATTGTTTAGTATTTTTGTAATGAAAAAAATTAAAATACAAATTAAATATCACAGTACAATTCGCAAAATGGATTGATTGGTACTATTATTGTGAAGAATGTATAATAATATTACACTTAAAATAAACTTGTGATTAATTTATAAAATATTACACAGGTTTTAAAAATATATAATGAGTTATTTTACAAATAAATTATAATAAATTTGGGAAATAAAATATAAAAGATGTAATAATACTAATGTATGTATGTTGTAATACTAATGTTTAACAATTGCAGTTAAAAACTTTATTCAATGTTTCATGATGCATTGAATTTATCGATGTTGGCTCGTTAATTAAAAGGCTAGCATTACAAGTCTGTAAGTTACAATCACAAAGATTTTTTATAGGTGACTGTTTCCTTCTTACGAAGCAAATTAGACCTTTTTTGACAGTGTGCTGTTTACTATATGTCGATAATCATTTTTTGTTTGCACTCATATTCAAAGTTTTAATTGCATTGAGTCAATAATGAAAGAATCGAAATTGAAACAAAAATTTTGCTACTGATTTTACTCTATTGACAAAGGACCTTGCACAATATCATAGGATTTTGGCCCTTGGTGAAATTGGCTGAAATTTTAGTATGTTATAATTCTTGATTTATTGATCAAAAGTGTTCATAGGCACAAAGTTTGAAAATGACTAGGTTTTTTGTTATAGCCCTTTAAAGTGTTATTTTATTAATGTTTCAAAAACAAGTTTCTGTAATAAATCAAGAAATTTTAAATCACAATATGCTAACCACTCACACCATCCTCATTCCCATCATCATCCCCACCCCTATTCCCTATTATTTTAGTTTATTTTTCCTTTTTAAAAATTTTCTGTAACATTACTCCTTTTAAAAGCTAATGTTGCGCAAACACACTCGATTAATTAATCTATCAGATCATAAATTATTAACGTTTTCTGCAAAACGATTAGAATTGAATTTTTAAATAATACGAAAATTGTTCCATAATTTTGACTAATTCTTTTATCTCCTATTTTCTGTCAAAATTATATTCTGGTTTAGCCTTAATGAGGCCATTTATATTTATTACAAAATCTTAAAAAATTTTAAAAACTTAATAATGTAAAACTCAATTGAGCATTCAAAGAAGATTCAATATAGTAAAAAATGGCAATAAATTTTTTTAATTCACTCTATTGCTTATTTTGCAATAAAGCTTCAAATTTAATTTATGTGTTTTCCAGTCCATCTGATCGTCTGAATCACCACCAATCGATTTATGTGCCGGGGAAGAGTTGGGCGAATGTAAATTGTTGAATTATACTGCTAGCAATATTCTGGAATGAGTCAGATAATGCCTTTTCCACGAGCGGTGAAAGCTCCTTCAGGAAGAGATCGAAATTGTTGTTGATAGCCGAATTGATGACATCTCCAAGGACTTGCTCGCCACCAAATAAATTATCTAGCTTTATTGTACCCTTGCCTACTGAGATTTTCAATTTGAAGTCCGTGATGCGCATCTTCTCTTCGCCGTCCTCGTCAAGATATTTCTCAATTTGTATTTTGCAGGCGCCTGAAAAGTTAATCAAGATTTTATAAGATGAATAAGTCAAATGTATAAAATTATGGAATTATAATTTATAAAATAGCAAATACCTATGCAATTTGAGAAATTGCCATGAATCGGACCGGATCCGCGAATCGGAAGTAACAGTAACTTGCCGTCCATACCATACGTTCCTTCAACTTGAATATTTGGTAATTCCACATCCACTAAGACGATCAAAGTGTTGAAGTCGATTCTTAGAAAAAAGAAATACGGCATTAACATACAATCAGGAAAATAATGAGAGAAATTCATTGTACGCTCATCACATCTTTCAATTCATGTTTGTAATTTCCATTTATACAAATAAAATTATTATGTTAATTATGACAGAAACTTCTCAAAATGATGCAAGTGAGGTTTTCATTTTATGTATCTCAACTAATCTCATTTGATCTGAAACTGACATAAAGATTACGGTTTACATGGATTTTATCAAACTTTATTGTTACTATGTGCTGTGTTTTAACTTCGTAATTTTCTACTATAATGTAAATTTTTTTATAGATACGCTTGTAATTAAAATAAAACTACAATAAATTACATTTAATTGCTAGAAAATTATGTTCTTATAGATTCTTAGCATTATTGTTAAGATATTAGATATTGCAATACATAATACAAAGAGTCAATATGCATCCTGGAATGTGGATAGATATCTCGATGGATACACGACATATTGTCATTAAAATAGTGTATCTCTGTTTCACAGTGCTCATACATGGGAAATTACTACAATAACTGATAATTTCAATGCACAGTGTGGAATCTTTCTTAGTATTCACATTATTACAATGCTATTATAAGCTTTGTCTCTTTCTATTTCTTTCTCAAAGCTCGATATATTATTTAACAAATGTCTTTTTAAATTTCGAATGCTACAAAGCAGCGAGAAATATCACCGGCGATTACAGTTTCCGTCCGGTTTTCTGGTCTTTATAGAGTATTTATCTTTTTTTCTTTGTCGCAATCTTCGAGGAGTAAGCATGAATACTGTTGACGCTTTGTAGACACACTTCGAATGTTCGTGTCACGGCCATCTATACATAGATTACAAACAACACAGCATTTCCTCAATTGCACATTACAAATTGCATCATTTTTTAGATATAATTATGCGTCTTTTTAAATCAATTGAATCGTCTCATTATTCTGTGCGTGGAAGTATTAAAGTCATCGAAAATAAATATTTTATGAAAAATTTTGTATTTCATGTTAAAATATATTTTTAAAAAATATATGAAATTTTTCGTAAATATAGTTTTCAATTTTAATATTTTTAGTGCATTATGTTTATAGAAATTACATTTAAAAAATCATTAGACTTATTTAAAAAATATTAATAAAACAATCAATTTCTTTTAGAAGGAAAATTATTTGAAATTAAAAAAAATCATTAATTTCTTTATTTTAAATCAATACTAGAAAAATGTCTATTACGGTCGAAGTTGGATCTTCATTGCTTTAAATCAATGCTTAATTCAATCTTAAATTATTAATATACACTATACATGTACAATATACATATATATTCTATTGTAGTCTTTTAGAACTGCACTCTGAATTGTTTTTCCGGACTATAAACACAATTAAAACTACTCTAGTAATCGCGAATTAAATGGACAAGCAATTTAATAATTTGATGCCACCATTTGCATCATATTATAAAAATGTTAATATGTTGAAACTGTTAATAAATTTATTTATTGCGAAAAATATTACCTCGGCCGGGATTTGAACCCGGATCTCTTGTATTCCGTACGAGCTAAGACATTAAACCATTGAGGCTTTAGTGATATTCTTCGCAATAATCGGTACAATAAGGAAATAATATCTTTCATGCGATGTAATATAAATAATATTAAAAATCTTGTTGACTCAATTCGGCGCGCAGTTCTAAAAGATTACAATATAGTATATATGCAAGTACATATATATAGTATATATTAGTAATTCAAGATTGAATTATTTAAATTTAAAACAATGAAGATCCAACTTCGACCGTAATAGGCATTTTTCTAGTATTAATTGTGTTTCTCACATGTGCAGTCCAAAAATAAACATTCTTAATATTGTTCATTTTAAATATTGATAAAATGTTAATTTTGTTTAAAAATCGTATTCTACAAAAAATTCTTAACATTCACCTTCTTAGCATTCTTTTTTCTAAAGCTGTAGAATGTGTATTCAAAATATTTTTTTTAATACTTTACATTTGGGATTGCTGTTTTTGTCCATATCTTATGAACTCATTTCTCTTCAATAATGAATTGCTGATAAGATATACGTCACGAGTCAACGACAACATAAACCTCATATGTGTGCAGAATCATTTCTTTGTAATCTTACATAATCTGGTTGGATTTATCGCTAAGCAGAGAGAGAGAGAGAGAGAGAGAGAGAGAGAGAGAGAGAGGAATGGATGGATGTACAGACGTATGATTCAATTTAATATTATGAATGATTCGTAGATTAAAATTTTGTTCAAAAGGATGTGACCATTATCCAATAATATCTTCGCAAGGTCACTAATACATAATTATGCAGAGATTCAAAACGCTTGTTTGAAAAGAAAGACATAAGTATGCTAAAGTGTTTTGTAAGATTTCAGCTTGAATTTTATTGTAACACTTACATCACATCATACGACCATACGTTATTCTTGTAAAAACGTAAATTGTCTAAGAAAAGACAAATTATATTTTGTTTAACAAATTAAATTAAATTAAGTCAAAATATTTAATTTGTTAAATAAAACAAGTTATTCATATAGCTAGTATTAAAAATTGCAAAAAAATGTGTAAGAATGTCAAGTTTAACTTTATGTTAGAAGATTAGTGATAAAAATATTTTTCAAACTAGCACATAAAAAAATTTTTAAAATATTTATAATATTATAATTATTTTACATATTACAGTGTCGCGTGCTCGCATTTTCTAGAACTAATCTTTGCAAGCTATATATATATATATATATATATATATATATATATATATATATTTTGTAATAAATAGTATTACAATTTTTATACTTACTTCACTCTTTTAATTATAAAATTGCTGGCACCCTTTGTCTCAATATCAGATGCCTCTAGTCGTAAATTACTTGTTGGTATAAACGTTATTTTTTTTAGTATGAGAGGTTCCAACGATGGAATATTATATTCTGGTACACCTGTTTTAAGATATGGTTTCAAATACTCTATACTCTCAGTGACACATGTCTCGTAATGCGGATCGTGCGTTTGACAAATATGCAGGAACTCGGCTGTAATCATAGTGGAAGCCGTCATCAGATTGTTATAAATAGTAACATTGGAAATATTATATAATAAGCGGTTGTTGCTACAAATCTATACCAATCTTAATTTTTTTTTACCGTTTAATTTCTATTTATAAATACAAGATTTTATTTTTATAATGTAATATTCTTTTAATATAATGCATTTATACCATCTTCGATTAAGAACGCATTTTATATTTATCATTTACTATTTAAATGCTTTTACATTAATGCAAAGAACATAAATTATATTTAAATAATTGCATTTAAATAATGAATGATAAATATAAAATGCGATCTTCATTATATTTATAAAAAAACATATTAACGTTCTATTAAGTTGATTTATGTTTTTTATGCAATATTTCTTGACAATTAAAAGGACTTAAAAAATGAGGTTAAAATTTATTTATATCCAAAAGTATTGAATTTAATAACACATGTTAATAACACATATAACTTTTCACTCAACACAAATAAAAATCTTCATAAATATTTCTTGTGCGAGAAGCTACGTTTTATCAAAGTTAACAATTTAACATTTTTATAAATACTTATTAAATAATAAATATTTTCGAATGTTTCTATGTCCTTATTCTATATGTAAATAAAATTGCCAATTTTCTTTACTAAAAATATTTTACTTTTCCTGTGCTTTTAGAAATAACTGATTAATTTTAACACTTCCTGTAAGATACCTTGTATACATATGTGTATGTGTGTATGTGTGATTCTTTAAATGTTTCTTGTCTAATCTATTCTTCAAGCAAAATTGTATAATATTCTATTTGTGTGTACTCTATTCTTGAATAAATTTTAACAAAAATTACAGATCATCAGAAGTATCTAATCTTAATGTTGACAATATCAACTTAATTTACGCACATGAATTTATTTTCAACTAAGTTGAAAATAATTCTAAAAACTAACTAAATAGTTCTAAAATTCTAAAAATTAACAAACGTATTTAGAAATCTTAATTAACGGTGCTAATCATTAAATAACAATCATTAAATCGACTTTTAGCATTTAGCATTCTCTCTCTCTCTCTCTCTCTCTCTCTCTTTCTCTATTTAATAACTTGTTTGTATAATAGTGTAACACTAGAGAAACGGCATTTACCAAAAATTAAATAAGCTATGTAAAACTATCTTTAAAAATTTTTATTCCATTGACATTATTTAGTTAGTACTTAACATTATTTAGTTAGTATAAATATTACTTTTGAGAGATTTTACCTGTACTATTTACTTACGTATATCTCGTGAAGATATCACACCGATCGTCGCCACGGCCAAGAGGATCGTAAATGTTGCCTTCGCTGATGCCATTTTTCAAAAAATGAGCAGACAGGAAGCTCAACAAAATTGTCTTGTGGGAATAAAAGCCTGTGTGCAAGATTCGACGATGGGGTTGCTGGACCACGGCGGCAGATGGTTCGAGGATAGTCGGGTTGGAAGTGTATGATCCGACAATCTGAACGTCTTATAACAATGACCATTTTTCCCTCTCCATATCATCCGCTACCCCCCACAAACAAAACGAAAGCCATTATTATTACTTATATGATACCTGTCTTTATGCATTTACAAAAAGAAAAGTGCATGTACCGATTGTGAGAATGAACATGTACAGATAAGTGATTGTGGACATGCATATTATGCAGACAATGATAGACTAATGTATGCTTTTTTATTAAACGGTATCACGGATGTTGCTTCGGTTTCATATCTCATAGACTTCTATTGAAAGCAAAGAAGAAATGACAAGGTCATATGATGTCTGACCGAATAATTTCGGGATATGTTCTACATAAATAATCAATTTCTCGTTATATCGTGATTATAATTGGAGAATCCATTAGTTTTTGAAAAACTTATTTTAAAAATAATTATGATGTTTAAAATAATTTTTCTGTTTTTTTTAAATTTTATTTCTATTGGAATTTAAATTAAAAGATTAAATTTGTTCTTTCAAATTGTATCCAATATTTTATTATAATTTGTATATAGGAATATCATATTGAGAATATCATACAAGATGTGTTATATACGTTTTTTAACAAAGTAAAAAGTTATTTAAAAATGACAGATTTTTCTATATTTTATTTAAAAGTAATACAAAAGTTTGGCAGCAATTTAGAATCTTAAAATTATTTCAATATGTAGACATATTTTGTAGAAATTGAGATAAATGAGAAAATGTTTAAAGTACAAAATTGTATTGTTAAATATAAATATTTATTAAAACGTTATTAAACTGTTCATAAATATATATAATAATTATATAATATAAATTATATAAATATATAATAAAAGTAACTAATATTTATTTTTATGTAAAAAATATTAGGTGTAGTAGAAAGAAATCCATTATTTTTCCAATTGGTAGCGCTAATGTGCACGTGCATATTAAAGCCGTTGTACATTGATTTAATTTGAGTATAAAAACGAAATGCAAATATTTCGAATTATGAAATACATATTTTATTTAATAGTACGATAAAATGTATTGAGTAGATATTTCATGATTTAATTGACTTCTATGTTTATTTATAAACATATCTTTACGTTATTTTGGACCCGACAGCTTTAATGTACACCATGCGCATTGAATGTGCGTTCCAATCGAACTCGCTATTATATTAGGTGTAGTAAAAAGAAATCCATTATTTTTCCAATAGATCCACGCGTAGACGAGATACAGATTACTAAAGTCATCGGAAAAATAATGGATTTCTTTTTTATATCCTTAAAATGTTGATTCTTTTTGTGTAAATGAAGATTTTATGTTTATTTATTTAAGAAAAATCAAGGCTATCGAAGAAAATAATTTACAAGATTTACATGATTATTTGATGTCTTCCCTTTCAGAGATTTACTGCGAAGCTGACAACGCATCAAAATTTTGATCTAACTTTTTTATTTTGAAAAAAAGTTTAACCACTGTTTAAAAACAAAATACTATTAAGTTTTATTTTTTCAGAAATTGTGAGAACAAAAAAACAAATCTACTTGATTTTAATGTATTTCATGATCTTGACATAAATAATGATTTCATAATCTATTCAACAAATATCATAGAAAGATAAATTAATCTAGTATCAAATTTAATGACTTTGGGAATGACTTTTTTATAGAAAAATCTTGCATATCAAACTTCACATATTTTAGAATATGTACAATAATTGCAAACAGATTAGAGATCATTAACCTTCTTATTATAATAAACTTTATAGCAGAATTCTAGTTCTGCAAACGAGAGCAAATGTGCAGCAGAAATTTTAGAAACGATAAAAAAATAAAAAAGATTTACAAATAAATATAAAAATAAATAAGGCATAAAATAAAAAATATTTTGAAAATTGTAAAAGTTATTGTGTTTGCTTCTATTTTAATCAAAGCGATAAAATATAATAAATATAAATTTAAATCATTTAAATAATTTTGTAATATTTCTTAGGTTTTCAGAAACTATATTTTTATCATTTTAATTATTTATATATATATATATGTTTATT